TCAGCTACGTGCAGCCTGCTCAAGTGTAGCAACTGAAATTGCCGCCACACTTATTACTGTGGTAAAATTGGTGCTCTGTGCGGCATGGTAGGCAGAGTATTTTACATCCACCAAGGATTCGTCTTTTTAAAACAACAATTAACAATCTTTGCCAAATTTTGTGAACTAAGAAAGAAGCAGTGACGAAAAGTGAAAAAAGGAAAAGAAAAACTATAGGAAAAACGATTAGTAGGTAGATTGATATGATTGATACGATACACTGAGATATGACTGTGATGTTAATGAGGACGTGTGAGGTTTCGAAACTGATTTTCATTGACGTATCATATAACAGATAGCAAACAGGGAAAGCTGGGGGACCAACCGATGAGCCGTACCCCTCGCAGCTGTGTCAAGCAGCGGCTGAATGCCGGCGAAACACGCGTCTGAGCCTTTTAGCTAGTACCTAGGCTGTTAGTATGGAAAGTTACAACATCGATTTTTAGATAGGGATACTGTTCACCATCATATCACCGTACGACTGGCTACAGGATCAACCATCAAGGAGGCGAAACTTGTGGAGCTCATCGTCGACATCAAGGTCGAAACGAAGAGGGGACTGCAGATTTCACGAGATCGTCATTGGAATGCCGGAGATTCGACCTTGCGGACTGTAGAGTAAAATGGCAAGGTGGCTAAAACAAAGAATTTGCCACGATCATCAACAGAGACCGCGAAGACCATCATCGAAGAGTGAAGATTCATGTCTGACAAAGGAAACCATTGCCGGGCTTTTAAAACAAGGGAACGCGTCACGCTATTCCATATCTGGCACTTATGGTTAAAAGGATGAGGGAACGAAAACGGCTGCGAAAACTGACCCTACAGTGGATACCTAGAAACCAATTTAATACCAAGGGAACCGCCTCAAATACCACGAGGATCCTATACAGAGTCCAAAATTTGCGTGTTTGGAAAGGAAACGGACAATAAGGACTTTATAGCTTTTTAAGTTGTATGGTTACGTACCGTACTTTGAAAACTACTAATGTAGACGCCAACCTACTGTGGATCTTTCTAAAATTAGACTATATTTAAAGATTCTAAGAAGCGACTTGATTCCGAGGCGTATGCAAAAGTGCAAACCGTTCGCCACGATTACATAATCCGTCTATCGTGCAGATATCGTCGTTTTATCGTGTATGCTATAGAAGAAGACGAAAAGGTGATATCTGGGACCAATATATTTTCCATGTGAGCCCATCGTCAAGGCATAGAGAATTGTATAACGCAACGCACCTCCATGCACGTTAGCCGTTGATTTGATTGCGCAATGTTTGATAAGCCCGTAGATTGAATCCGCGGTCGAGTGCTACGCTTCCTGTGTGAGCGTCTGCCAAGGAAAGCTTATCTCTCTAACTCAATTAGTTCCTGTTCGCGCATGCTCGCGAAGGCCTGTCTGTCGGTTTCACCAACGTAGTTGGTGTGAAAACAGTCGCATTTCATCTGGTAGATGACACCAGACTTCTGATTGATTGGATGAGTGAGGGGCAGAATGTAAGTTCAGGTCTGTGAGCGACGCCAATCCCGGATTCACTCATCAGTCGAACAAATCTCTCATACACGCCAGCAACATAATGCACTGTCTGCCAGCATTTCGCTTTTGGCAGTTCCCCTTGGTTTTCTATCCCCGACTTATCGCCTGCATTTTTCGACAAAACTGCAAGATTATCTGTTATCAGTGAAGAGACTCCACAGAAGCTGAACCTCCGTCTTCTTTTCGTGCAAATACGCTCCTAAACGGCTGTAGAGGGTTCCCACACAGGTGCGTTTGTGCAAAACGGGGTGGTTGTTGTGGCAACTTGGAATGTTTGTGTTATC